GCTGAGCATGAGGGAAGGACGTGGCTTTGTTTTACTCTCGAATGGCAGTTTCATTAGTATCTGAATAGTGTTAACAACAGCGAGACTGTAGTGTTGACGACACCAATAATCTCATATCTAGGGTCCTGTCCAAACTGCCACGTTTGACATCATGGTTCACTGCTAACTAGGGTCAGCAGCAGATGGGGAGTTCCATGTTTGACACCTGGTGCTTATGAAAGTCAACGTCAAAGCTCCCTTTGACTTCACTGAGCTTAGCGGTGCAGGACCAGGTCCCGATGTCGGTGGTGGTCAGTTTCCGTAGTATAAACAACACCCACAGGGGGAGGCAAAGCGTGAAAGTTTAAAAAAAAGGGTCAAAAACCTGACTATGTAGTAAAACCCTGTTTCTCTGAGCCTTTATTCCCTGGTTCTGCAGATTAACTGAATCACTACAGGAAAACAGTATGGGTCAGCCCTGGGTGGAGTCCCCAGTGCCTCAGTGTGTCAGGGATGTTGCCCCCAGTGTACAAGTGGAGTGTAATAATGGGAGTGTGGGCTGGGGAGGGAAGGGGATGGGGCTGCCCTGATCCAAGGTTTTGTGGCTGGGAGGAAGCACCCAGTGAGGGTGGGATCGGTGCCGGGAAGGCAGTGGGGGGCTCAGGGAGCTGCCTGTGTTTGCAGCCTGTGCGTGGAAAGGCTGCAGGCTTGGACAGCTGGGGGTGCTGTGCAAATGCCCTGCTGTGGTGATGATGGTGGGTGTCTCCATGGTTACAGTCCTTCTGTGGCAGGGTCTCTGTGGTCACCGTGCTGCTAGGTGGGGGTCTCTCTGTGGTCGGAGTCGTCCTGGGCCTGGTCTCCATGGTTAGAGTGGGGCGGGGGTTGGGAGTCAGGACTCTGGGTTCTATCCCCTGCTCCAGGAGGGGAATGTGATCAAAAGAGGCACAAGGCTGGACTAGGCAGTAAAGATTGAACTCCCTTCTCTCTCCTACAAGGATTCCTCCAGGGCAGATGGTCACACAGGGAGGAGGAATAGGGAGGCTGGGGGTGGGTGGGGTTTTTAAATTTGTTTTCTGGTGCCTTAGCCATTACGGGTCATGTTTCCAGCTTGGCACCATATTAACATTGGGAAAAAAAATTTAGCTGAGATTCTCACATCATCACCTGACTCCTGGAGCTGGGACTTTCAGGAAAACACCAACTATTGCAAGACTTGTGATGCAAGCATCAGAGCTGGTAATGCTGTTGTATTTAGATTTGCATTGTGTTTCATCTGGTATCTCTGAGGCAGGGAGAGGGGGCTTCTTGTGTGACTTTGAATCAAACAAATGTATAAAATACAGGGATATATCCAAATTAATCACTGAATGTAGAAATTGCCAGATTGGATCAGACCTGAAGTCCATAGAGTGCAGTCTTCTCTCTCTGACCATGGTCAGGACCAGATGATCGAGAGGAAGGGTAAGAACCCCACAGTAGCAGATGTGGGACAACCTGTCTCCCTCAACCCATCCCTGCCTTGGTCTCTGTGATGGGGCAGAGTGGCCCCACACTGGTACAGCAGGGGTTAACCCTTCTCTCCTAGCAGAGGAAGCCACGCCCCGGAAGCTCTGCTGGGCATGCTCCAACTGGAGCACAGGTATAAAAGCCGGCAGACCAGCTCAGTTGGGGCTGACCGCCGGAGGAGAAGGATGGACGCCGCTAGCTCCTGCAGAGTGAGGGCCTGTGAGCCAAGACCCGGGAGGCAGCCAAGCTGAGGCACTACCTGAGACCTCGATGGAGGGCGTCACTGGGGAGGAACAGACTGGAGGACCCCTTGCCGCAGAGGAGCTGGTATTCATGGTAGGAAGTGACCCAGGGGAACCATAAAGATAAACAGCATTAAAGCTGTATTAACACTCGGCGTGTTGCGGGTGGATCCCCGCCGAGCGAGTGGCAAGGAAAGCTTGCCGCTACCAGGGCCCTGGGTCGGGGCTCGGTGGAGTGGGCGGGCCTAAGTCCCCCTACACCCTGACCCCCGAACCATGAGGGATATTATATGGACTCTGGCCGATAGGCCGCGCTACCCCGCTTGTAAGGGGATTTCTATGGACTCTGGCCGCTAGGCCACGCTACCCCACTTGGAAGGGGGTTTCTAGGGTCTCTGGCCGCTAGGCCACATTACCCCACTTGGAAGGGGGTTTATAGGGACTCTGGCTGCTAGGTCATGCTACCACGCCAGATAGGGGCGATAGTAGGGAGAGGAAGGCCGAGAGGCTGTAACAGACCGCTCGCAGAGGGGCGGCCACAAGGATTATAGAGTGGTGAGGCGCCGAGTGGTGAGGCGCCGACATCCCATCCTACCCCTGCCCCAAGGGGGCGCTGCGGTGACAGGCCCGCCACAGTCTCTAATATTTAGAGATCGGCATAAACCTGAAGCTGGAAGTTTAGTGTCCCCACCAACATTTTTCATTATGATTCATTACGACAACTCTGGCTGTTCATGAAATCCAACCAATTATCCAACCTCCTTCCTAGATATAAATATCCAGTCCAAATATCCAACCTGCAGGGCTGGAGTCCAAGCCCCTTAATCCCTGTTTTCCTAAGAGCAATAAAGCTCAGATGCACAAAGTGTCAGATTAAATTCTACAGCAGTTTATTGAAGGATAAATGCACATCTACAGGGTTTGGAATGACGATCAGATCACAAGCAATGAGTACATGGAGCGGTGAGATTGAATCCACGTTGGTTACCGAGTATGGAACATTGAGCAAATCAACAGCGACAGGTTGATACGTAGCATCACACAAACTAATTCTCATGAGAACCCCAAACACCCCATGATTACAAACCCAGCACCTCAGCTCAGTCTGAGCGGGGTCGGTGGTTCCTGGACACTCAGGCAAATCTAAACTCAGCATCAATCAAGCAAATCAGGGATTAAACGCATCAGCAGTAGCTCAACCCGCAGCTCAGGGTTGTCAATTGCAGAGATGAGATTCTCATTAACTATTAAGCCTCCAATACAGGTTTAGCAGCCAGACGCTTCCAAACCCTGCTCAGGGTACAACTTCGTTACAGGGTTAATAACAGACTTGAGTTTCAGCACCGCAGCCAGAGAACAGAAACTTTAGCCAACCCCTGGGGAGAGGCTGGGTAAATGGTCTTTCTGAGGTTGCTGACAAGCAGCTTGGGGCGCTCTGGAGGTCCCAACACTGGCTCTGGAGTCTAGGGGAGGTGGCCAGCAGCGCCCCAGCTCCCAAGGAAGGTGGCCAGACGAGAGGTCTGGCCCCAGGTTTAGAAGCCCCAGAGTTAGAAACTGGCAGACTCGTCCCAGATCTAACACCCCTCTGATCAACATGGCTCTGCCGACTGAGCCCCAGTGTAGACGCAGCTATGGCGATGGAAGAAACCATCACTCAGGGAAGTGGTGACCTACAGCGAAGGAAAAACCCTTTCCCTGGGCTTGGGCTGCATCTACGGTTCTACGTCGCCATAGCTACGGTGATGTAGCTGCGCTGATATATTGTCTCTGTAGTGCAGACAGACCCGTCGGCCATGTCTGCACTTTGGGTGGTCCCGTGCTGCAGCGCTTTCCTACGTCATCCATTGATGTCGTTAATCCTCTTTTCCAACAGACAGGAGCTAGGTTGACAGAAGAATTGTTGTCGATTTAGCCGCATCTACCCGGGGTTAGGTCGACCTAATTGCAGTGTTCAGAGTGTGACATTTTTCACAGCCCTGTGCAATGTAGCTAGGTCAATCTAATTGTTAAGCGTAGGCCAGGCCGTAGTGATGCTGAGAATTCACACCTCTGTCTGGTGCTATTAGTGACACAGGTGAGGAGCGTGTGTTTAATATGGTATTTCATTGGACAGTGTCCCCTTAAGCTTTTCCATCCTGTGGGATAGTTAAAATAAATTGCAGAAGCTGGGAATTTGACCTCAGTTTTGCCTGGTTCCAGTCTTATTAAAAATCATCTTCATTTAAAATAAAAAAATAGCTGTTCCCTCCCGTCCCCAAATCTTAGTCCATCTTTCTCTCGTCTGTTGCATTATATGCACATGTGCCGGAACTAGAGAGGGGGGGGGGCGCCTCACTCCCTGGCTTGAAGTGGTTTCCATTATATCCAGGGTTTACAGTTCAATGGCTCTCAGCACCCCACTATATAAATTGTTCCAGTGCCCCTGTACATGTGAGAAGGAAGGAAACACCCCCTTCTCTGTACTCGGATCCAATCCCCACTTGTCTTGGGGTTGGTGTCAGACATGTTGCTCTTTTTTTGTCTGGCCCCTGTAAGTGAAGTAGGTCCAGCCCGCCCCGCCACTTCTGTTCCAGAATAGGAGCTCCCAGTTGGGCCAATTAAGGTGGTGGGGCTGCTCCTGGGGTGATACAGGTCTGAGAGGGCATGTCTACACTGCATGGTAAACCTGGGTCTCTGGGACGCGAGCTTGTGGACTCTGTGTTCGAAGCCTGTGCATGAGCATCCACACTGCACTAGAAACCTGGGTTTACAAGTGCTGGACCCGGTCTCAGGGCTGTGCTAGTGTGTCCACACTGTACTACGCAGAGCTTCTGATTGAGGTCTTCAGCATGAGCTGTGTCCACACTGCAGAATGACAGGGCTTGGACCTGAGACTCAGAGGGACTTGGGTTCTGACCCACCCCCCCAGCAGCATTCTAGGACCCATTCCCAAGTGCTCACTGACCTGAGTCAGGCTGATTTGGCTGTGGAAGGAAGCGGGGCTGAGGCTCAAACTTGAGTCTGAGCCAGCCTTAGCTCCCAGAGTGGACAGACCCTAGAGAGATCCTCTGAGGAGGGACTGGCTGAGAGAGAGCCAGAAAGCAGGAGCAGCAGGACTGCCGGAGACCCCTGGGAGGGGAGGCTGTGAAAGTCGGCAGTGGAAGGTTGAGCTGAAAAATGGTTTTGTCTCTTGGTTTGTTTACGTTTGGGAAAATCAAACTGCAGGAAGGAGACCGGGGCTGCGGCAGTTTATCCTGGGAAGCCGGGGGAAAGCTCTGCCTTGCGACACTGTTATTAGTTATTCTCTGCTCCCTCCAAAGCCTTTTTCAGGACTCGTTGAGCATCTTCTGCAACTTCATCCAAAAATGTATGTAGCACTTCAAAGGTGACACTGTACGATCTCTTTGCTGCTATCCCAGTGCCAATCAGTGGTACCACACTGATAAAATATTTAACTGTCATCATACCTTCCCCTGTAGCCTCTCTGAGACGCTTCAAAGCCTCTTCTCTTGTTATATCTTTGGCCAGAGGGCACTTTATCTCAGACTTCAGCTCAGCAACAGACTTCCCAACCTGCCTAGCAAGTGATTCGATGGAATCATCCACCAGGCCAAAGCACTTGCAATACTCTCTCATGTTCTCCACCAAGATGTCAACATCGCACTTAACCGAGAGATATGGGAGAGGAACAGCAGCGAGAGCGCATGACTTCAGGGCTTGTTTCCAGATCTGTTCCTGCAGGGCCTTCTGTTTCTCTTTCAAGATTTCTTCAGAGGTTCTGGGCAGGGCACAGATGAGAACGTGTCTTCTGTGAGTGTCAAGATCATTTGCCAAAACCTCCTGCAGTAGGGGAGAATCGTACTTGTCAAAGTCCCATCTCGACACCAGGAAAACTTGTGGGGAAATGATGCCTGCTTTTTGTAGCTGCTCCATGCAGTCACTTCTGATTACATGTAGAGTTTTCTCCTCTTTAAAATCATGACTTTTTTTTTCATTAGCCAAGTCCACATCTACCTTGGTGCGGACAAAATAAAACTTCTTTCCCATCTTGTTGATTTCTTTGGCAAGGTGGCTATCAGTTTCTAGGAAGCGCCCGGCTGCGATGATGATGAAAAAATCATAGCGGTCAAGGCTCACATCTTCTGCATATGTTTCTGTTGGATAATTCGTTGTTCCGATCCCAGGAAGGTCCCACACAATCACATTTGGGTGAATGGGATGGGGGTAAGCAGTTGGATCCTTTGTTGTTTCTGTCAGCCCAATCTTAGCTGCACCACTGTCATCATCATTCAAGCTTCTTATGGCATTGATGAAAGACGACTTCCCAGAGCCAGCGTTACCTGTGATGGCGATGTTGAGTTTGGTATTTCTTAGCAATTCATCAGACTTCTTCACCACAGAAATGGCTTCTGAGAGCTTCCCAGCTTTGACAGCGGACTGGAATTTTTCAGTTTCTTCCTCAGACAGACCGGGCAGTTTCCTGCCCCATTTTGAAAACAAATCAGCCCAGTGAGTTTTTGAATCTTTCATAACCCTGGGAAAATAAACATAAATTCTAGTCAGGGTTAGGGGTTTTCCCTCCCAACAGCTATTTACTAACCCACGTCAATAGAGTCAGAGTCATAGAGACAGAGTGATTAAGGCCAGAAGAGATGCCCCAGATCACCTAGTCCGACCCAATATATGTCCAGCTCACTAACCGCTCCAAGCACTCGCACACTAAACCCAACAGCCAAAACGAGACCAAAGCATTGCCACCCTCAGGAGACCAAATTATTGTGTGCCACAGGAAGGGATCAGGAGGCACCAAGCTGTACTTGTGGCTGGGGCCACTGGGGTAGCAAGGAACAGATAAAGTGAAAGAGACCCAGTAAAAAGGGATGCTCTTATTTCCATGTAACAGACTTATGGGGCTGGTAGGGAAGGAACTATTGGTCACAATGTGCAATAAATAAATAAAATAATCTAGAGTTTAAATAAACATTTGAGAACGTCCGAAGGAGAAAGCTTCATTTCAGCACACGTGCCACTAGGGGGTGCTGTGCTGGAGGGAGCAGGGTGGGGGCTCTCCCCTGGCAGGCAGGGCTGGCCCCAATGCCCCAGGGCAGTGCTAGGGGGCCTGTGGTGCCAGGAAAAGCCTGAGAAAAAACTACAACCTATCCTGAAAGATGATCCCTCACTCTCACAGATCTTGGGAGACAGACCTGTCCTCGCTTACAGACAGTGCCCTAACCTGAAGCAAATACTCACCAGCAACCACACAACAAAAACACTAACCCAGAAATCTATCCTTGCAACAAAGCCTGATGCCAACTCTGCCCGCATATCTATTCAAGTGACATGATCATAGGACCTAATCACATCAGCCATACCATCAGGGGTTCGTTCACCTGCACATCTACCAATGTGATATATGCCATCATGTGCCAGCAATGCCCCTCTGCCATGTACATTGGCCAAACCGGACAGTCTCTAGGCAAAAGAATAAATGGACACAAATCTGACATGAGGAATCATAACATTCAAAAACCAGTAGGAGAAAACTTCAACCTGTCTGGTCACTCAATAACAGACCTGAGGGTGGAAATTTTGCAACAGAAAAGCTTCAAAAACAGACTCCAACGAGAAACTGCTGAACTTGAATTGATATGCAAACTAGATCCAATCAACTTAGGCTTGAATAGAGACTGGGAATGGCTGAGCCATTACAAACATTGATTCTATCTCCCCTTGTAAGTATTCTCACACTTCTTATCAAACTGTCTGTACTGGGCTAGCTTGATTATCACTTCAAAAGTTTTTTCTTGTACTTATTTGGCCTCTTAGAGTTGGTAAGACAACTCCCACCTGTTCATGCTCTCTGTATGTGTGTATATATCTCCTCAATATATGTTCCATTCTATGCATCCTGTGACAAAGTTCCTCCTCTATCTTGGTGGGTCCTGTGCTTATTGGCAGATTTTTCTTGCCTCAGAGATTCACCATGTGGGTTGGGGAATAGCCCAGAGACCTTCCCCTCTGGAAGAACCCACAGTCCAGGTCAATTGGGAGGTTTGGGAGGGAACCCGGGCCTGCCCTCTACTCCAGGTTCCAGCCCAGGGCCCTGTGGACTGCAGCTGTCTATAGTGCCTCCTGTAACAGCTGCATGACAGCTACAACTCCCTGGGCTACTTCCCCATGGCCTCCTCCAAACCCCTTCCTTATTCTCACCACAGGACCTTCCTCCTGGTGTCTGATAACGCTTGTGCTCCTCAGTCCTCCAGCAGCACAGCACAGCACACCCTCTCACTCTCAGCTCCTTGCGCCTCTTGCTGCCAGCTCCTCACACTCGCACCACAAACTGAAGTGAGCTCCTTTTAAAACCCAGGTGCCCTGATTAGCCTGCCTTAATTGATTCTAGCAGCTTCTTCTTAATTGGCTCCAAGTGTCTTAATTATCCTGCCTGTCTTAACTGGTTCTAGCAGGTTCCTGATTACTCTAGTGCAGCCCCTGCTCTGGTCACTCAGGGAATAGAAAACTACTCATCCAGTGACCAGTATATTTGCCCTCTATCAGATTCCTGTACCCCACTGGTCTGGGACTGTCACATATCCCTCCCCGCTGCTCAACGCCAAGGGGTTGGGCATGTTGGGACGCCAGACAGTGCACACATGACAAGCCATCGGCGTTGCCATGACGGCTCCCTGCTCTGTGTTGCACAC